AGCGTAACATTGGAGTCAATACAATGTCTATGAAACCAAACACTAGTTATTGCTAATTATGGGTCAAACACTTACTGATACACTCGGGGTCCACACCCCAAGACCACAGGCCGTCCTCTCGGCAACGGCGGGCTTCGTAACCGACCAATCGGTAGCCATCATCGCAAGAGAACCTGACAATAGTACCTGGCCAATACCTGTTCTCAGACTTGCGACCATTGAGGGGCTTCGGTAGGGCCGGGCATCGGGGATCTGTAAGTGAAACACACATATAATTAACATCTGGCGTCTGAATGGACAGTATATTGTCTTACATTTCCTATTAGCCTCATTGGCCAGGTAGAGTGCGTATGCCTCGTGTTGCTTGGTCACTTTGGCGTAGTCCTTGTTCAGGGTGATCACGTAGTCGTACTGACAGGGCACGGAGTCGGCGCACACGGAGTCCATTTCGGGGCGCAGGTGTTCGGCCCAATCGGGCAGTCGCGGGGGTAGACCGAAGTCGGGCAGGAAGTTGGGGTCGTCGTAGTAGGCGAACGGTATGGCGTCGTGATGGAAGAGGGAGGCCACCTGATTGGGGTCGCCGATTGCCACCCGTTCCTGCACTCGCCACGCCTTCCCGAACCGCATATGGATGTCCTCCTGAGTGCTCTGCAGTGATATCTGTTGCCCATTAGGCAGTGTAAAGTCGTCCCGGAAGTCACGCGAATATAAACCTAACAGCCCTCCCGTCCCGTTCTATACGTTCATAAGCATCAATGAAATCATAAATTATTGTTAATGTTTGATAAATACTTCGTTTATCATATGATGGACGTATCAGTGCAACAAAATTTCATACTGATTGCAATGTTTGCATTGTATTTATGAGAGATAAGTGCTTTTTTACACTTTTATTCTCAATGCAAATCTCTTAATACCCTTTCATTTCATTTCTATACGAATACTGATTACAGACTTCATTGCATTTCTCTAGAAATCTCCTTATTTTGCTAACAAAACAATATTATTGATTGCATTTTGCTATCATAAAGTGCATTATCATCCTATAGTCGCATACCCCACACCCACACACCCTCCTAACCCTAACAAACAATTATTGCACAGATATTTAACACATGAATCATAACTGACCATGAACGTATAGGGCATATACACGTGAACAGTGAGGTGTCCGCCATCGGTCATCACCTCGACACCGGCCCCGGAGTCAAACATAGCGATCACGTGCGACATATTCTGTATACCCGCGGGCTGGTAGAGGGTCACGCCCTTGAAGTTCTGCAATCTCATGGACTCGTCCCACCAGAACACGTACTCCTTGTCCACAATCACATACATTTGGTACCGCCAACGGGCGGCTACCGGTCTCAACCGGAACTCCACTATAGACGAGATATTGTCGCGCGCGGCCACTGCCATCAGTGCCGTGGCGTTGAGCGGGGGGTCAGTCCGCCTATTACGGGGCACCTGCTCAAAACGGGCCTGGACGTCTGCATAGGGGGTAGGGGTAGACAAATGGTTGAGACATACGATTAGTATACAAATTGACTGGTGTAGAGATGTGGTTTTTAGACTTGCACAGTGTTTGAGTGGGAAATGACCTACCTAGTTTGTGAATGGCGTTGTCCACGTGGACCAGAGTGTACTCCCCTTTAGCGTTCATCGTGTAGTTGTATCGGTCAAAGGTTACGAAGTGTGGGTCGCCGTACACGGAGCCGATGGCCGGTGCCTGGTATGATGAGCAGTCTTGCGATGTGCGCCAGTAGTTATACATCTGACACGTGTGGGCGTTGTCCTCCTTGGCCTGCCATTTGCAGCAGAAGAAGAACGGCATTGTGTCGTGAAGCCATTCGGACAGCGCCGGGATCTGTGGTGGACAGGGAGGTTGCGGTTACTCATAGTCGATATAAATATGTATATAAATATAGCATACCATCATGCGCATCTTAAAGGGATGTTTGCCATAAATATAGGCCCGGGAGGGTCTGCCGCCATACATAGTGTCAGCGGTCTGTAAAAGCTCGCTGTAGTCGTCGTAACAACAGGTCTGTCCGGAACCACCGATTCTAACGGTTTAAAGAGATTTTCAATTAGTTTTGTGTGAAAATCATTCAAATCACTGCATATACTAACGACGGCCGTCCAGTCTTGAGGCAGTGTTGGGCCCCTCTGTGAAAGGTATCGCACTTGCGGTCAATGACGTTGCACTCGAGGTCGGGCGAGAAGCGACCCCTGTCCAGCTCGGCCTGTTGTAGAGTACAGGGACACCGGAACACCACTCGGGCGAACCGGTCGGCGTACGACTCCTGTTGGAACCAATCGTGACAGAAGTGCTCTTTCCAGCGCCCGTTGTTTCCGTACTCCCGTTCCCACTGTGACTTGAAATACCAGGCCAGCGGCATAGGGCGCGACCATATGGTGGGCGACTGTTTGATGTCTTTGCCCA